ATGCGCAGAGTCTTCTGGGCAAACCCCATGGGGGGGATTTTTGGAAGGGCTGGCCGGCAACTGGGCCGTGCCGCCAGCCGATTCTGGCCTCCAGGCCCCCGTACCCAGCCGCCATCATTTTACCCATCCAGGGATTACAGGCAACCGCCCTCCTACTCCAGAGGCACGGACAGAGGCCGTGGACCGCGGGGAAGCGGGCACTCCTGCTTTGCTACAGGTAGGCAACTTTATTCCCCCTCTCTTAGCATGCACCCGCACTGCGGGCCGTATTTCCTTTCCTTTTCAGAATTGGGCTGCCCTGTCGTCAGACACGTGGATTCTACAAATGGTGCAGGACCCCCACTCAGACACACCTCCCGCGCCCTATCCATCTGTCACACCACGACCACAAGCTCGTCGACACGGAGCTGCAAGAACTGAGGGACAAAGGAGCCATCCAGCCGGCCGACGGCTTTGGAGGCTTTTTCAGCAATATTGTTCTGGTCCTCAAAAAGACAGGAGAATTCCGCCCTGTCATCAACCTGCGAGACCTCAACGCATACGTGGTATACCGCCACTTCAAGATGGAAGGCATCCATCTCTTGCGAGACCTTCTGCGGGACAGCGACTGGTTCACCAGGCTAGACCTAAAATATGCATACCTTTCTGTCCCAGTGCACCTAGATTGTCAAACTCTCCTTCGATTCCGCTGGCACGACCGTCCTTGGCAATACACCTGCCTCCCTTTCAGGCTCAGATCGGCTCCATGGTGTTTCACCAAGCTCCTGAAGCCGGTGATAGCCCACCTGTGCTCCAGGGGCATATGGTGCATCACCTATCTGGACGACATCCTCCTCTTCTGTTCCAAGGAGTTCAGGCTATGTCAACACACTCGCCTCGCAGTGGTGCTACTGGAATCCCTGGGTTTTGTGGTAAACTACCAGAAATCGGAAATGTCCCCCTCTCAGACGATATACTTCCTGGGGTTCGAGATCGACTCCACATCATGCACTCTGAGACTACCATCATCGAAGATCTCGTCCATTCAGAAGGAAATCCGCAGAGTCCTTCGTTGCGACACCATCCCATTGCACAACTTAGCCAGAATCGTGGGACTTCTCTCCGCCTCCATACAGGCCATATTTCCAGGCCCCCTTCACTACAGAGCCATGCAACGACTCAAGGCAAGATTCAGCGCGGCAGACCCACGTACTACCAACCCATGCCGGTGACGGCAGAGGTTCGCAAAGAACTGTCATGGTGGCTGGACAGCATGCAGGCCTGGAACGACAGGGCCATATTCCAAAGACACCCCGGATTTTATACTGGAGTCCGACGCCAGCTTGTGGGGCTGGGGCGCCACCAGCGGCACAACGTCCACGGGTGGAACATGGACAACACAGGAGCCCTCCATGCACATAAATTGCCTGGAGCTCCTAGCGGGTTCATTCGCGATCCGCAGCCTGGCTCAGAGAAAATCCAACTGTTGCATCATCCTTCACATGGACAATGTCTCCACAGTCCGATATATCAATCGCCTGGGGGGTGCACGCTCCCGCCTTCTGTCGGACATCACGAAGAACATCTTCAACTTCTGTCTTCCCCGCAACATCGCACTCCAGGCCGAATACCTCCCCGGAGAGATCAACCTCACAGCGGACGGGTTCTCTCGCCACTGGAGGGACACCAGCGACTGGAAGCTGGACACGAGAGTATTCCAGGTCCTTTTCACCTGGATCTGTTTGCCTCCCACAACAACCACCAGACTCCGGAATTCTTCAGCTGGCTCCCAGACCCGGAAATCAAGGCAACGGACGCATTTCTCCATCGTTGGCCGACCAGGGGAGCCTATGCTTTTCTCCCATTCGCCATGATTGCGAGAACCCTACACCAACTCCGGATGCAACAAGTGACTGACACTCATCACACCATTGTGGCAGAGCCAACCATGGTTCCCGGACCTTCTGGCCTCCTCATGCAAGGACCCTCTACTCCTACTGTCCTTCCCAGACCTCCTCACGGATCCCAAAGGGAATCTTCACCCATTAATACTGGAAGATCATCTACCCCTTGTGGCTTGGATGCTTTCCGGGGTTCCTGGCAGGTCGGTGGACTATCGCAGGCTGCTAGAGACCTCTTATGGGATCCATGGGCCCCCGGAACTAGACGCTGTTACATTTCAGCTTGGGCCTCCTGGTCTACTTGGTGCGTGGAACAGGACTCCGATCCATTTACTGCCCCTATACCTTTGATGCTCACACTCCCGTCGGGGTCCTCCCGGTTGGCAAGGATCCTCTAGTCTGCCGACTTCTCCGTGGTATGCGGCTACGACGCCCTCCAGGCCCTAAGTACAACCATCTCTGGGACGTCGGGCTGGTCCTCCGCTTTATTCGCGATTGATACCCTAACAAACATTTGTCCCTCTGACAATTGTCGCTCTCCTGCTTTGTCTGGTGTCTTTCCGGCGGGTGTCCGATGTACGTGCTTTCGATGTCGATGTTTTTGATGTCTCCCCCGAGGGGGTCACATTCCGTATCTCCCGACGTACCAAGTCAGATTCGACATATTTTATCCTTTTTTCCTGGATGACCCGCAACTCTGCGTGGTTTCTGCTCTTCGCAGATACATCACGGTTACCTCCCCTCTTCGGAACTCGACGCCAGGCCAACTCCTGGTCTCCTACGTTAGACCCCACGCCCCAGTCTCAGTCACCACTCTAGCTCAATGGATCCGCTGGATCCTTTCTCTCTCCGGTATAGACCCCTCATTCGGCGCCCATTCCGTTCGCGGGGCGGCGGCCTCCTCAGCCTTCCTGGCGGGAGCATCCTTGTCGGATATTCTGCGGGCGGTGGATTGGTCTAGGGAATCTACCTTTCGTACCTTCTATTTCCGCACTCCTCCTCCTGCAGGGTTATCTCTGCTTCAGCGTTAAAAATGCAAAATAGGAAGCCTCCTGTCATGTTATAAAATTGAAGATTATGCTAGCTTTAGTGTACTAATAATCTTAATTTTAATAAGGACAGGAGGCGAGTATTTTCCCTCCCTGGTGTTCCCTCCCCTGATGCACCTTAGGGGGGTGGATCCCGAGGTGATGGATGTTTTCTTTCACAGGTTAGCCTCGTTATTTTACCGTGTTATCAGTTAGTGGTCTACTCTATTCCCGTTTCAGTGCAGATTGTAGAGACCCGAGTTTTATCGTTTTCTGGAGCATGATTTAATTATACTACCGTTATTGTGGTTTGCTCTGTAGTGTATCCATATACTTCACATGCTTATAAAGGTTCATCTGCTTGACCAGTTATGGTTCAGTACCTAACCTGTTTTATACTCTCCTTTTCAGTGTAACCTTCTCCAGGACCGCCTATGGATGTCATTTCTGGATATCCCACGACTCCGCCTGTTTGGTTGATGACCTCATTTGTTTCTCACCCTCTTCGTTTCGATAATTGGGAGTCTCCACAAGTTCAGCGATTCCTGGAGGATGCACGTACTGATTTTGTTTGATTTTGTTATCTCAGCGTTCAGTCAAGACTTGGATGTCGCTTAAAGAAAGAGGAAGTGTCCAGGCAGCATGACCCTTATATACACTATGCTGCCCATTGATTTACTGTTGTTCTTTACATTTTTCTTTACTGCTATGGAGTTTAGTAAAGAGAGTTATGCAAACTACTCGCCTCCTGTCCTTATTAAAATTAAGATTATTAGTACACTAAAGCTAGCATAATCTTCAATTTGTATTCACCCATGTTAGGTTCTAATTTCAATTAAGCAACTGTGATGCACAATAGACCAAAATATATTATTATTTATGATTTGCACATTTGTTATTAGCAATTGGTGTTTGTTGAGCAGTGTCTCAATAACAATATATTTCTTGGACAATCCTTCATAATTTTGTCAGAAAATTGATGGGGTAGTTTATATAACATCTCTAAATGTATTCCATCTATGTAAACTGACTCCTCAAAATTCCTCCATTGGCTCCTTACAAAATGAATAAATCTTCTAATCTTCTCAACTAGACCTTCCCATGATTGGCCCAAATATATAATTCCCTCTTCCTCATGTGAATGTGGGGTGATAGTGTTGTAGAATTATAAAATTCTTGAAATTATCTAAGCTAATACTTTGGCAGGAAGAAATGTGCGTCAGCAGAACAATGAGTTTCTGTTGAATGAAATATTGTAGCAACTGAGCCACATGTTGGTCTTAATAAAGTACATGTCAGCTGAATAATAAAATGTGTATTTACTAAAAGAACCTTGAAACTAACAATACCAACTACTCAAAATGGCTGCCAAAGCACCCCTCCCATCGAGTAAACACCTTGTGCTTGTGTCCACTCCCGTGTCAAGGATGACACCACCTCTTGATGGGAGGGCATCTAACTAACCACTTAACACCTGAACCAATTAATAATGTTTATTTGTTGTTATCTTGAATTCTTCAGTGATGTAAAAATGCCTTTATAAGGGTCTGCGCACCCATTTTCTGTTAGAAGTCATGAAACTTTTCCGAAGTTCTTTCATTAACCTGAACCCTGTGTCTCAGTGTGAATTTACTTCTGCGTGCACGCAACTTTATTATCTTTAATTTGGACAGGAACAGATAGTCATTCAAACTTATTGGTTTGCAGAAAATAATCTACTACAATTTGGCGCCATCAACGTGGGGCTCTGGGTTATGTCCTGCCCGGACAGCCGTCCAAGAAGACGCTGGGGGGATGAATCCTGGGGGAAGGAAAAGAGCCTGATCACCTCTGAGTACACGGTAGAGACTGCTGCAGCACCTAGCCGGTATGTTCCTGCCCCTGTTATTGACCTGTCCCAGTGTCTGTGACTGCTGCCGAGAGGACATCAAAGTCAGGTAATAACTTGCCCAGAGTCTTTGTATTGTTAATGATACCTAGTTTACCTGCATGTTGACTATCTGTTGCCTGGGTGTGTTTGTATTGGTTTGTGTTGAGCTTAGTCCCCGGGGAGTGTGAGTGCCTGTTTACCCCTTTTAGGTGCTAGGTGGCTCTAGCGGTAAAGGAAAAAGGGGAGGGGACCTGGTGGAAGTCTGTGTGGACTCACTACTTTCTCAGGTCCGGGGTGTCACTTTGAGGGCCTGGCTAGCCTCATTGTGCACGTTACTCTGCTTGCAGAGGGTGAGACACTTCAGCCTCGAGCGCTGAAGCTGGTAGTGTTCTGTTAACCTCTCAGTGCCCGCGGATACGGACACTGTTAGGTTGTGGTGGGATTGGATTCGGGCAGGCATTGCTGTTTCCATCACCGTGCGGTAGTGAGACTTGCGGGTGGGTCCGCAACAGGGACACTACGAGGTTGAGGGAGGTGGAGGGGCGGCCACACAAGTAAAGGGATTACTGTGATTTTATTTGAACTGTGATGCATGCACTGTATTTTATCTTGTCTTAATTGTCTGTCACACAGATTCCTGTGCTTAATCTTATTTTACTCTCTGTGTTATTTACTCTCTTGAGAGAAGTGATTGGTCACACACTTCTCGCCACACTCCAATCCGTGGCTACCTCGGGTAGGCGGAATTAGTGACTAGTCTACGTTTTGGGAAGACGTACGTAGGAACCCACTCTTATGTAGCAGTCGAGCACTGTAGACTTTCTTTTCTCTCTTTCTCTATATCTGGGACGCCTTATACAGGGAGGATGGGACAGAAGTTAGATAAACCCAGTAAGGGCTGGTTAGCATGTGATTTAGTAGAAGACAGAGAAGGAGAAGAGGTGGTTAAGAAAGTGAGGAAGATTGCTAAAGTATGTGGAATTACCGTACCTCCGTGCGGCAGATTGCAGCCAGAGAGCTGGCGTAAGTTACTGACAGAGAAGAAAGGGAAGCGGTCAGACCACGATTTGGTTCGTACAGCAGAAGCCTGGTACCGAGTAGCAAGAGCTATTCAGCAAGCGGGATGGGTTGAGGAAGAAATTGATCATAAAGGTTTAAGATTGTTTGTGTATTATAATAATTGTGTTACTGGGAAGTTCTCCCAGCCAGCGCCCTTTGATGGCGCCCAGGAGGTGACCACTCCCAACATTGCGTCAGCAATGACCGAAATGCAGCTGACCATGGTCCCCACCCCTGGTCCCCACCCTACCACCGCCCCTGTTTACCCAGTCCTGAATGCTGATGGATCCTTATTCTCCCCCCCATCAGTCCTACAGATCTCGTCACCCTCATCCTCTCTCACACCACCCTCCCTCTCCAGTCCGTTTCTCCCGTCCGCTCTTCCTCCCTTCCGCCCCTCCCCTACCTGCCCACCTCCTCCTACTCCTCCTACTCCTCCTACTAATCCCTCCCCTCCGTCTGTCCCCCCCCACTGCTCCGTCTTCTTCCCCTCCCTCATCTCCTGCCCTTCCTACTCCACCTTCTCCTCCTCCTACCCCTCCCGTCCCTCCTACCCCACCTTCTCCTCCTCCCACTCCACCTGCTACTCATTCTTCCATTTCCCCACCACCATACCTATATCCTTTATATCCTTCCTCCCTTCCTAATCCATACCCATCTCCTCCGCCCTAGCACCTGCCCAAATGGCCTGGCCATTCCCCTACCCTTATCCCACAACTCCGCCCTATTCCGCCACTTCCTACATACCTTCCATAGCCACACCCCCATCCCCGATCACGCCTACCCTGCCTCAACCTGCTCAAGTTGTGCCCGCATCCAACATGGCCACCACTTCCTCCCTTAACCTCAACGCCACTTCCTTCCACGCCTCCAATATGGCAGCCCCCAGTGGTGTGGCACCTCTAATGCCAGTCCTTCCAAATGATTTGTTACCACCAGCGAATACCACACCATTAGCTCTGGCAGGCGGAGTGCCCATTCTACCCCCGGCCCTGACACCTCAGGTAGCTACAAATCCTACAGGGGTCCGAGTGTCACCATCCCAGAATGAATTTGATTCAGTCAGCTCTCATGGTTATCAAATCCCACCGGACTCCAGAAACACATCGCCCCGCCTGCCCCGGTGCTCTATCAATGACCCTTTTGGTCGCCGGATTCAGGGAGAGAAGGCCCTTGTAATGTATGTCTCCTTCAATCCCACTCAGGCCTCTGCTCTAATGAAATCACTCCCTGACCCCGAAAAACAGCCCATGCCCTTCTATAGAGGGGTAGTTCAAATTCAACAGACCTATTCCGCCACATGGCGTGATTTGTTAAGCATCTGTGCCATAAAGGCTGGAGATGCTTATTGGCCTAGCATTGCCCGCCACCTCTGCAACAACTGGCTCACTAGTGATACTGACTATGCATCGGGGATTGAATTCTGTGCCCAGCTGAAGGACTGGGCTAAGGATAAGCTCGCAGACTTAGCAGCTGGCCTCAACGATGTTGTTCAGGAAAAAGGTGAATCTGTGGAGAGGTTCCATGCTAGACTTTTCCAAGTATTCTCAGACCTGGGATTTGATCTCAGCAACAAAATTCACTCCCAGATGCTTTCTGGTGCCTTTGTCCTAGGCATCAAAGACTCTATACGCAAGGGTATTATTGCTGCTCGTCCTGAATATAGGGTGGTTCCCCTGGATAAGTTACTCTTAGTTGCCAGAGGACTAGAATCAGCACAGAATCCTAGAAAGTTCAATTCAACTCCTATTATGGTGTCACGCCCAGTCCCAAGAGGCACCAGGCCCGCTGATGGAATCTGTTTTAATTGTGGGGAAAAGGACCATTTCAGGAGTGATTGCCCCGAGCCCCGGAGATACCGAAAATCATATACAGACGAGGAGGTGCCTAAACCCAAACCAACAACAAAGGCTCCAAAACCTCCCTTGCCCGATTCAGTCCAAGAAGATTAGGAAATTGGCAAGCCTGTGTCATAAACCCCTGTAATGGCAGTATCTTCAGGGGAACAAGGGGGGCCACTAGCCACTGTAACTTTACCTATTGAAGGTCACCCTACCACATTCCTTGTTGACACAGGTGCAGCCCGAAGTGTTCTGAGAGAACAAGACCTGCCTGATTCTTCATTCCTTTCCAATATTGACGTCTCCTGTGTAGGTGTAGATGGCCTCCCGAGACATTGTCCTTTAACTACTCCTTTACGAGTTGGCAACTGTCCCAATCTGCTTGCCCGATTTGTGGTGTCTTCAACATGTCCTATTAACCTATTAGGTGCTGATGTCCTTTCCCGCCTACAGGCATCTATCACCTTCACACCGGATGGCCAGGTGGAACTATCTACTCCCCTGTCCAAATCAGACACCTCAGCCTTGTGTTCCCTGCCTTTGATGCTTCATCTAGAAAAACCCCATGGGAATGCAAAGGCCCTGAGGGACAACTTTCCAAAAATTCTAATGACAAGTGTCCCCAAGAAACTGTGGTCTTCAGGCCCAGAGGACATAGGTCATCTAAAGGTCCCACCTGTGATGGTAAAGCTAATTCCAGGAGCAAAATTACCGAGAAAGTCTCAATATCCGTTGAAACCAGCACAAGCTGTGGCCATCACGGAACAAGTACAAGCACTACTGGCTAAAGGTGCTCTTGTCAAGTGCGAATCACCATGCAACACCCCATTGTTCCCTGTGAAGAAGAGGACACCTAAGGGTGAACCTGACAAGTACAGGATGGTCCAGGATCTTCGGGCTGTCAATGAGGCCACAGTTTTGGACACCCCAATTGTGCCTAACCCACACACCCTTCTCTCTGGTGTTCCACCTTCTGCCACATACTTCACAGTTATTAATCTGGCCAATGCCATTTTCAGTGTCCCTCTGGACCCCACCTGTCAGTACCTGTTTGCCTTCACGCATGAGAAACAACAATACACGTGGACTGTTATGCCCCAGGGAGCACAAAATTCACCAAGTCAGTTTGCAAAGGCGATGTCTTTCATCCTTGATCCATGGCAATCTGACCACCCCGAGGTTGCCCTGCTCCAATATGTTGATGACCTGCTCCTTTGTGGAGATGACATCCCCACGACAGAAAAATGTTCTCTGGGCCTCCTTTGTTATCTTGCAGATCAGGGGTGTAAGGCATCTCTTGTCAAACTTCAATTTTGCCAGGCCACAGTTATCTTTCTAGGCCATTGCCTGTCCCATGGCACTAGACACCTCACCCGTGATCGTGTCGGAGCGGTTTTGGCCATTCCGCCTCCAAAAACTCCAAAATCCCTCCACGCCTTTCTAGGCCTCATTTCTTACTGCCGAGCGTGGATCCCAGAGGCCTCTCTACTCATGCAACCTTTGTACGATGCTCTTAAATCAGACCCGTTCTGTCTGTCCTCAGAAGCACATGACAACTTCTACGCTCTCCAACGTGCTATTGCCTCTGCTCCCGCCCTTGGCTTGCCAGACTACACCAAACCATTCAAATTATTTGTGTCTGAAAGACAAGGCCACGCTACAGGAGTCCTTACTCAAGCCCATGGACCTGGCGGCCGCCAAAGGCCTATTGGCTTCTTCTCTTGCCAACTAGACATTGTGGCTAGAGGAACCCCCTCTTGCCTCCGAGCTGTTTTTGCCGCTCAGGAACTCATAAACCGCACTGGGGACCTGGTTCTTGGCCACCCTCTGACTGTTTTGGCACCTCATGATATTTCTGCCATACTTAACTAGGTCAAACTCAAACATGTCACCCCTGCCAGGCACCTTCGTCTCCAATGTCATCTCCTGTTACCTGACAATGTTACCCTTCAAAGATGTCAGGTTCTGAATCCGTCCACTCTTCTGCCACTCCCTGAGGGGGGTAGCTACTATGGATTTATCACTCCCTGAGGGGGGTAGCTACTATGGATTTATCATGGATGAAGGCTGTGTCCTACTTCTTACCCACACTATTAAAACAATGCACCTCAATTTATCCTTCTGTGACGGGCCAGAATATGCCTTCTGCACCATGTGGTACAAGCCAACCATCAACCCTGACCCTCATTATGAAGATGAACTTTATCAATTAGTTGAGGTAAAACTCATTCTACAAGATATTTACTGCGATACTGAAAGCAACAGTATGATTTTGGTTCAACTACCACTTGGACTTGAACATCTATATCACCATTGGGACACAGCCATTCCACATGTCCCTGTTACCAAATCAAAGATAAAGTCATGGGGTGATCTCGGGCCCATGGCAAAACTTTGGGCCACCATGGATGAACTACAGCTCCAAGAAAAAGGCGTTGTCAAGTACCCAACAACTGAACATGTAAAAGCATGGCCACTGTACTTTCTGGAAGAAGAATTTGAAGATCTGGTCATAAAGCACGACTATGATCCAGAAACGCCCCATAACTGTTT